TTATACATATAGAGCACAATTTTTCGTATCTCTGTTTGAAACAGAGATACGAAAAATTGTGGTATATATGAACCGGCTTCTTATTCCAGTGTATATGTGGTTATCCCTGCACTACTTTTCTTTCACATGCCATCCCAGGAGTATTGTGCAGAGAAGTACACAGCAGCATTTTATGGTCTGAGTTTGCTTAGGGATGGACCCAACCCAGGGTCACCACATGAAATTTACTAAGAATGTCCAGGCATGCCAGACAGAGAAAGAGAAAATTTCCAAGAATAAAAAAAATAGTAAGAGCTAGAAAGTACATGTTCTTGCTAAGGATCCTGAGGCAGAAAGAAAACAGATAACATGAGAGTTGGTGACATTGGATTAGAATCCTCAGATTGGATAATGATGAAAATGTGATTGTGAGTTCCGCACTGTGAGGTGCTAAGATGGAGTGTTCTTGACTCTTGGAGCTCACTCAGAGGGGGTATTGGATATGATGTCAGAAAAAAATTATGTAACAGGAGATTAGAGACCCAGAAAAGGGCAGGAAATGAAGTAAAATGCAGGGAATGTAGGTTCGGGGAGTGGGATGTATTTTTTTTCTGGATCTTCAAAACAAATCCAGAACCCAAGCTCTTCTCTTCACCTCACTTTGAATATAGTGGTCCAGACTCTGTCCTGTCTCAGCAGCTCTGCCCTGGTGACCTTTCACTTACCCTTTATGGACTGCATAGCCTTTGCTCTGCTCTGACACTCTCAAAATGCTCTCACATTCCTTAGTGACAGGAAATGCCATAATTTTTACAGTGGCCTATGACATCTACACAGTCTGAAACCACCCAAACTCTACCTCACATTATAGTCTAACTATGTGGCCTCCCCCAAATGCACAGGTTGAAGTTTTAACCCTCAGTGTCCCAGAATATGCTCTATCTCAGGGTCCCTGGGCTGCTCCTTCCAACTAGAACTCTATTCTGTGGATAAAGCTGGTCTCACTCACTTATTCTCAGCTCATGTGTCACATGTTGTGGTCTTCCCTGACCCTCCTGCTATTTAAAGCAGCTCCCTACCACCACCATGGCTATCTTTCCATATGCTCTTTTTTTAATTGGTTGTTCAAAACATTAAAAAACTCTTGACATATCATATTTCATACATTAGATTCAAATGGATTATGAACTCCCATTTTTACCCCAAATACAGATTGCAGAATCACATCGGTTACAAATCCACATTTTTACATAATGCCCTATTATTAA